GCATTTATGAACTGTGATTCTTCAAGTATTTCTCAGGAAGGCTGAACTTTCAGTAATCCTTAAACTAGATGAAAAGCGTCTCCTTTTCAATGTTTATGGATAAGAAAAGGAAAGCTTTAACGTGAAGGGAGCCTACTTTTGAACCCAGGATTCAAAAATAGAGTAGGTTGTAGAGATCAAGGCAGACCTTTTTCAGTCACATGTCTGTGCTTCAACTAATTTAGGATTGGTTATTTCTTAAAATTCCAATTCTATTCATCATCTTTAAAAATCTGCCTCATATTCACATTTGGAAATGGAAGTGCTCTTTTAATTTGATGAAATCATCCACCTAGTATTTGATTATTATGCGATGTAAGGTGATTTCTTATGAAAGCAAAACTGTTCTTCTGTCTGCAGTCCAAAACAAGATTTTTATTTATGAAAAAGAACAAATTTACCTGTTAAAATGATGTTTATATTTAAAGCTATCAAAGCTATTTGGTCATTTGTGCTATTTTTAATCTTTAAATAGAGTAGTTGTTCATGTGCCATCTTTCTGTGTAAAATATTTTAATCTCCTAATTTATTGCATTTAACCTCTATTGATCCTTTTTCACCCAAGTCCCATCTGCCAATTACTGTCGATGCAAGTTCATGCTTTTTCTAAAAAGGCAGCTAAAATTGTGCTTGGAATTATATTTTTTTAAAAACTACAGATTAGTGTTAGTTCTTTTAAAAAGAAACCCTGGCACAAGTATTTCATAGCTATCTATGACTTGTGTGCTTCCCTCCTTTACTCACACAGCAGGGGATATGATAGCCTGCAGACTTTTCAGGACTATAATATATCTCCTTTGTGAATCTCTTTGTGTAGAACAAGCCCCTAAATATACTTGAGTCAAGAGGTCATTTATTTTTCACCTCCCTCTTCTCAGCAGGAACTATGAGTCTATGAGATAAAAGTATTTTTTTAAAGAAAGAAGGAATTGCTTGATACACAGGTAATAAGCAGTAGAAGGAATGGAAAATCTGCCTTCATCTTCTTGCTTGATTGCTCTCAGTGGCATTTACTTGTCAGTTTATTAGTGCTACTTCCACAACCTGATCTTAGTGAGCACAATGGGAGGTTGGCCTAGGCTGTCAAAGGGAGTAGCCAGCCCAAAGGGTATCTTGGACTTCATTTTGAAAGAATAACCTCAGTCTGATGGGCTGAATTTTTTTCCAAAAGGTTTTCAGAAGGGTTAAAATGATTCTGTAATTAAGAAAAAGTGACAAAGATAAAAGAGAATCAATAACGTGTCCTAACTTTTTCATGCTTAACATTTGTGACAGACTGGATCACCTTTTGGCACAGAGACCATAGATAGCTTTCCTTTTTTTAAAGTAATAAACCCTCATCATGCTCCTATGCCTCTTTCTAATTTCGTCAGAAATTTTTTAGCTAAAGTGGTAAGCCATTTCTTCCTTTTCAATGTTCAGAACTCCTTTGTAAAGATGGATCTTGGCAGATACCAAACACCATCCTACTTCATTCAAGAGATTATCACTGTGAACAAGCTGTAAGAATAAAAGTCTTTTATTCTGTAGAATTGAAGTGCTTGCATGACTAAAAATAGCAACATAAATATTATTATGTCATCTCCCTATTAGTCAGGTCCCTGAAGATGTCATTGGCTAGTTCAAAGTGTCTTTGTTGAATGGAGCTGATGAACTATTTATTCTGTTGATTAAAATATATGACAAGGAAGGGAAGGATAAAACAAACTCTATATTGTCTTGGTAAAGTATTATGGAGGAAGGTAACAAGAACACTTGAAATTTACCAATATCTTAAATTATTGCCCTTATAGCAAGAGCATGATCCTGATGCCAATGTGTAGAATTTAGGATTGTGGGTCAAGTAGAAGAGGAGACATATGAAAAATGGAAAAATGAATGCACCGCTCACTTATATGAAATGCTTATCAGTATCACACTTTCTTTCAGGCTGAACCAATGTGGCTGCATTTTCCAGCCCACTGAAAGTCAGGTTTATGCAGTGAAAAGTGGCAAAATGGCATACTGTGTCACTTCCAGCATGAGTAATGTGAGAACTTGAATTTTTAAAGGGGAAAAGAAATTTCCCTAATACTTTAGTTGCCAGAGCTATAAGCTGCTTGGATGAGGAACCTTTGTTCTGCCTATAATTTTTGTTAGGAGACCTGCCACCGTCTCCTTTGTTTAAATTTGACTTAGCGAGCAATTTGAACTTCTGCATCACCAAACTCATTATAAATATGCAAGTTCGTTGGGGGGGGGGGGCAGCTGAATAAACCGGTTATGTAATTACATACTTCTCATAATTATTGAATAATTATATACTTCTCATAATTGCCAAGCAATCATGCTGCTATAACTAGAACTTAATGTTACAACTAATTATATAATTACTGTGTATTAATGTTGTTATCGAGGCAACAGAATAAAGTGTTGCTTAGCTTGAAGCTTTTTTTTCTCAGTAGCATTTTGAAATATAAAAACGAATATTTGTTATGTAGCTGGAAATGGGTTTTATACATGGAAAATATAAAGGAAAATAAAACATATTTTATGGAAAGAAATGGATGAAACTGTTATGCTTATGAGTAATAGTTTTAGATGTTTAGCACATTTTCGTATTTTGCTTCACATTCATGTGCAAAGAGGTATGTATGTACATCATGCAGAGAGCTATCCCAAAGTGACATGGATCATGCATTCACTGCACTTTAACAAAAGTTGCTTAATAGTAGATTAAGCAATGATTTGATTTACTGTTTGTGCTAAGATTAATAATGGATAGTTAGAAAAATACAGTGACCCCAAGTTATTTTATTTATTTATAAGATTTATTGACCATCCAACATACATTTATTCATTGTTGATCATATCACAGGATAATTTTGGCAGGCTTACAATCATAAATAAACAAACAAATAAACAAATAAATACTTTGTAGAGGAAGGATAGACCCTTCAACTGAAGCAATGCTTTTCACGCACTGAAAAAAGGTGATACCTAGTTGCAGTTTAAAATCTATCAGAATTTATTTATTTTTTATTTATTTATTTTTTCTTTTGTTAATAGGTAACTTTTATCCTGTGCATTTTTAAAGTGCCATTTTAATTGTTTTATCATGATTTAACACAGAGAGAGACAGACAGACAGACAGACAGACAGACAGACAGACAGAAATGCCCAGATTGCACAAGCAAATGTATGGGATAGAGAAGAGCTACAGGTAAAAGCCACCTCATCTAGCAATCTCTAGCAGAAGATACCTCTGCCCCATCTCTAGAATGTTGGTTCTACTGTCAAACTTCTCATGTTAAAAATTAAGTAGCTGAACAAGTTTTTCAGATAGAAATAGAAAAATTATAAAATACAAAGCAGGAAAGAAATACATTAAAACTATGAAAACAAGACCCCATACCCCATCTCCACCCTAAACAGAGAAGCTCTTTGTCTTTTCGGTTGTTTTGTCTGTAAACAACCAGAAATTGTTTTCTTCTTTTCTCAAGAAGCCAGTTCTCTCAGTCTCTTTCAGGATCTGGGTGTTAATCCTTTGAACAACATTTGGTAACAGTCTCCCCCAATTCTTTGATTTCCCTATTTTTAAACCCTCTTGCCTATTCACGGTGGCTTAGTGGCTATGATGCTGAGCTTGTCAGTCAGAAAGGTTGGCAGTTTGGTGGTTTGAATCCCTAGCACCACATAACGGAGTGAGCTCCTGTTACTTGTCCCAGCTTCTGCCAACCTAGCAATTTGAAAGCTTGTAAAAATGCAAGTAGGAACATAGGGACCACTTTGGTGGGAAGGTAACAGCATTCCGTGCGCCTTCAGCATTTAGTCATGCCAGCCACATGACCATGGAGATGTCCTCAGACAGTGCTGGCTCTTCAGCTTTGAAACAGAGATGAGCATTGCCCCCTTGAGCCAGAAATGACGAGCATGTATGTGTGAGGGGAACCTTTACCTAAATATCTCAAGCTATGAGTCCTGAAAGCTACCAGCAACAGAAACAGAGAGTTCAAAGTTTTTTTTATCATGCCATGTATGGAACCTAGTTTGAATTCTTCAACACTTTAACATGGAATACAAGAAAGTTTTTCACATGTACAAGAGAAATTGGAGGAGGTTCAAGAAAAACAATGAAAGAGGTTCGAGAAAAGCAATGTACAACTATCTTAGTTCTTCTAAGAACTAAGAAGAACTGGTTAAGCAAGGATAATAATTATGGCAATGATATCAATCATTTAACTTGGTGGGATGAAAGGAAAAATTGGGATAACCCATTTCCTGACTTATTTTGATTTTATAGCGAAATGCTGTAGATATCTGAATGCCTTAGCAAATCTGGAAGACATTCCCTTTAATGTAGTCAGTAACGGGAGAACACAAATAATTAGACTCTGATCCATCCAATATTTATTTCTTGCAGTTTCTAAGCCAATGTATTATTCCTGATCAAAGTGTCAGGCTAATGTTACTTGTGCCTGAGTATTTGTTCAAAAAAGAAGAAATAGCAAATGGTTACATTGGTGGTCTATCACCATCCTCCAGCACCTTTTATTTCCAAAATTCCAAATGGAATTTGTTTGCTTAAAAATTAAAGAAATGTAGATGGCTTCCATTAACTGCTTGGAAAGAAAACCCCAAAAGTAATTAGCATAATGGAAAGATAAGGGGTAGTTCAATAGGAAATGGGGGGTTAAGGAGACTAACTGGTGATCCCTCTCTTCCATGGCAGCTATTTTGTGAAAGCACCCACACCACATTCTTAAAATTACAGATGCACAGTTGAGAAATCCTGGTCTCCTTCTACCTTAAGCTTCTCAACAGTATTGATATTGGGTTTTGGTGACTAAAACATCAAACAATAATCATGTAATTTTTCAACTCACTCAATATCCTGGCTTTACTAGAATAAACCTATTATCTTCAGAAATATTCAAGTTATAACAGTTGAAGATTTCACGGTTTCCTTCTTTCTCTTTCAGCTAATGGAAATTACAGTATTTTAAATTGCACACAAATTTTACATATCGGCAAAGAAGCAAATGTCTGGGTGTCCATTGGAGGACTAATTCCATTTTCCAACTACACAGTGAAAGTGAATGCTTCTAATAGCCAAGGTTATGTGATCAGTGTTCCTGTAGAAATTGCTCTGCCTGCTGGTGGTAAGTACAATAAAACAGTCACATTGTATATGCCCTTTCTTGATGATCATTTCGACTGCTATTCAAAAGTACATGGAGTAGACCTGTGCTATCAATTGCCTCTAGAGGACACTAAACAGCCTGGAGGTAGAACAGAGAGAAACAGAACTATACATTCATCAACAGTTGTGCTGATGCTTAGAATAAATTTTCACAGTTAACTCTAAGAGATTAGCATAGATTAATATGTCATGGAAACCTGCTTCTTACTTCCGATATAATGCAGTATTCTCCAAAATAGTCATGGATGCTACTTTATTGTACAGTAATTCAGAACCAATGAACCACAAGACTCCTGCACATGCCTTAAATGCTATAAAACTCTAAAGGATAATGAAAATTCCATCAAATGTTCTCTATGTAAAAAATACGCTCATCATGACTGCTTGGGATTACCCGAGCAAATGATTCAATACCTAGAATCATCCAATGAGTTTCCATATGTCTGCAAATCATGCAGACCCAAACTGGATCTGTTTGAAAGAGTTGATACCATAGAAACACAAATAACATCCCTTGACACCATAGTAGCATCCCTGGACGCTTTAAAAGAAAGAGTATCCAACCTTTAAAAAAAAGACACACAACGCAAAAACCTGAACATCCAGTAGCTACAAACCACATCTCTACCCAACAACCACAACTCAATCCAAAAAAAAAACCATAAACCAGACAAATAATGATATCCCAATCCTCATCAGAGAAGCTGTTGAGCATGAACGGAAATGTCCAAACGCCATCTTATTTGGTGTAGAGGACATCAATGACAATGATGACATCACAACTGTCTGAAATATTATCAGTGATTATCAAGCATCAAGCATCTTCCCTGATGAAATACTTGACATTTCCCACATTGGCCGAGAGTTCAAAAACAGAAATGGCTCTGTGGCCCCACGCTTCTGCAGGGTCATTTGCAAAAATGAATCAAGCAAACGTAAATTCATTTATACAATAAATTCACTTGCCAAAAGCAATACCAACCATATGAACCTCTGTTCTCGCCCTGACCTAACCATACAGCAATGTGCCCGCTCCCATGTACTCTGCACTGAACTCAAAAAACATCTAGACAATGGAGAGAAGGACCTGTACATTGACTACCATGCTGACTGTATCAAAAGTAAGTCACACAACCCGCAACTCAGCTTTAACCTTCAACCACCACCCTATCTCAACCAATCCACCATCACCCAAGACTAGGCACACACGCCCCTAACTACCTCAATTCCAATTACTGCTGGCCTTAAATGCAAGCTACTCAATGCAAGAAGCCTTGTGAATAAAATACCTGAATTTCTCCTCTTACTAAATATGGATAAATTCAACATCATATTTGTCTGTGAAACATGGCTCAATGCATCTCTCCATGACTCCATTACCACAGTAAGAGACTATCATGTTTACCGATCGGATCATGAAATTCGTAGAGGAGGTGGTGTTGCTATCTTCTATAAAAAGTCCTTACATCTAAAAAACATCCAAGTTACCCAGGAGCTTGCTCTTCCTGAGACCATTATCTGTGAACCATCCTTAAATATCACATTTCGATTCTTACTATGTTACAGAGCCCCTGATTATGACATCGAACATGTAAACAAGCTAAATTCACTACTAACAAGGGCAGCATCCTGCCCACACGCTTTTATCTTTCTTGGTGACTTCAATCTACCTCATATTAACTGGACCTTAAATGAATGTACAACTGAACCCATACGTGCAACCTTCTACAATGCTGTTACAAATCTGGGACTGGAACAACTAGTAACCAACAATACAAGACTTAACAACTGCCTCGATCTCATCTTCTGCAATAGTTTGAATGTAATTTACGGAGTACAAACTAAAGAACCCTTTTCCAACAGTGACCACAATATGATTGACTTTTGTCTCAACATACGCCCATACAAAAATCATCACAATGATGTAATCCCCAATTATAACTTCAAAAAAGGCAACTATGATCTTATAGACAATGATCTCTCATCCCTTGATTGGCAATCTTTATTCACTGGATGCAATACTGTTGAAGACCATTACAACATATATCTTAAAAAAGCTATCCACTGCCATAGCAGAACCTCTAAGCATAATCTTTGAAAAATCTTTCAGGACAAGCTCCTTGCCTAACCTATGGTCACAAGCCATGGTCATCCCCATCTTCAAAAGGACATCCTAGCCTAGATGAAAATTACAGACCAATCACCTTATGCTGCGTCACCTGTAAAGTCATGGAATCATTAACCAATCCATTATCCTCCACTTAGAGACAAACAACCTACTTTCCAATAAACAATTTGGTTTCAGAAAAAAACTATCCTGTACACTGCAAAAAACATATGGACTACATAACTCGATCAGAGCAAAACAATAGACGCAATCTACATAGACTTGTGTAAAGCCTTTGATTCAGTGGTACATGACAAACTACTCCTAAAACTAAAATCTTATGGTATCTCCGGACACCTGCATAACTAGATAGAAGCATTCCTGTCAAACAGACAACAAATGGTCAAAATTCTGTACCTGTCAATAGTGGTGTCCCCCAAGGCAGTGTTCTAGGACCAACTCTGTTCATACTGTACATAAATGACGTCTGTGATCATATTAAGAGCAACTGCGTTCTCTTTGCTGATGATGTCAAGCTGTTCAGTACCACAGATAATACTGCTACCCTTCAAATAGATCTTGACCATGTATCAGAATGGTCAAACAAATGGCAACTTCAAATCTCAACAAATAAATGCTCTGTCTTACATATTGGCAAAAAAAATCAGAAAATAAAATACAAGCTGAATAGTCAAGATCTTGTTGATGATCCAAGCTCTGTAAAGGATCTTGGAATACTCATCTCTAATGATCTAAGTGCTAGAGCCCACTGTAACTAGATAGCCAAAACGGCATTAAAAGTTGTTAACCTAATCCTATGTAGCTTTTTCTCTGGTAATATCACACTACTAACTAGAGCATACAAAACATTTGCTAGACCAATACTCGAATATAGCTCATCAATCTGGAACCCATGTTATGTATCTGATATTAGAACAGTTGAGAAAGGCCAGAAATATTTCACAAGAAGAGTTCTCCACTCCTCTACTTGTTGTAGAATATCTTATGCCACCAGACTTGAAATTCTAGACCTAGAAAACCTTGAATTACGTCGTCTTCGGTCTGATCTAAGTATGGTATATAAAATCATACATTGTAATGACTTACCTGTCAATGAATACTTCAGCTTCAACCATAGCAACATAAGAGCACACAATAGATACAAACTCAAGGTTAATCTCACCAAATGCAGGAAATACGACTTCAGCAACAGAGTGGTCAATGTCTGGAATACTCTACCTGACTCTGTGATTTCTTCCCCAAACCCCCAAAACTTTAACCTTAGACTGTCTACTATTGACCTCACCCCTTTCCTAAGAGGTCTGTAGGGGGTGTGCATAAGTGCACCAATGTTCCTACCATCCTTGTCCTATTGTGTCTTTTATTTTTCTTATATGTACCCATTTCATGTATTCATAACTATGTATACACTTATACCTATTATCTTATAAGCGATTGACAAATCAAAATAAATAAATTTTAAAAAATAAAAATAAAAAATAAAAACATATAACAAAGAGAATCAACTGCAAATGTGATTCCATACATGACATTATTAGATGAATCTGCATTCATTCTTTTAGCCTTAAATATATAAATATATAAAATACCACTCACACATCATGACAAAATCTCCAGAACTATAAAGCCTACAAACTTGAAATTTGGCATGTATGTTCCTCTTGGCTTTTAGGTGCTCACTAAAAAAGGATTTTTTGAAATGACCATCAGAGCATAAGTATTTCATATATTATTATTAACACACTCTGATGCTAAGGACTTCTACTCCCCCTCTCCACCTGAAATGAAATATTCCAAATGCAAAACACTAGCAGAGGAGAGGAGTTTCAGTTTTAGTTTTACAGCACCAAGCAGCTTTAGTACAAAATAGTTGAGTTAAGCCACCCCAGGTTCCTTGCTGTCTCCTTCTTGCTTACACAGCAAATACAGTTTCATTTTCCAAACAGCTGTCAGCTCTCTCACACACTGACAGGATGCTAGCCAGATGAATACTGATGGATGCTGGTAGGCAGAGGCAGATTTTTTTTTCTCCTTATTTTCCTCCCCCAAAACTAAGCTCATCACATAGTTTCATAGCAAAGCACAGGTATCGAGCTAGTATACTATAATAGAGCTTGAGACAAGATATAATATCCTTGAGACAGTAGTACTATTTTAATATATAGGGTTGTAATCGATATATGTGAAATTCTTTTGTGCACAAAAGAAAAACAAAGCATTGTGTAATAATTAAGTTCAGTTTGTACTGTTTTCAGTGGTTTATTTGTATCAAGAAAGCTGTCTGAAGTATAGTATCACTGTATCATAGTAGTGGAGTAGAATATATTTTTTTAATTTAATGAGCCACAAAATAGTGGAAACCAAAGGAAAAGGTAGAGTATCCAAGGTAATGTAATCATATGGTTATGCCAGTTTATTCTGAGAATTATCATATAATGTAGTTTCTTTCATCATTTGTTGTTGATTACAGTTAGGAAATGTATTGCTTTGAAATGATCTTTTTTATGACCTTGTGGTACTTTAAAAGCAATACCTCATTGATTAAATAGGTTTTAGTTCATGCTTCCTTTTATTTAATGACCTGAAAGCATATTATCTTGATTTACACATAAAATCATGCTGAAAAGCATGTGGCATTCAGTAGACTATGTGTATTTAAGTAGAATTAAATTAGCATTGAAAGTTATTAAAGATCTTCCATCCTATTGTCCAGTGGACTGTGATTTGAACTGAAATGAATAATAAATGAACCAGCAAATATGAAAAAAGCCCTGATATATAAGACATTCTATAATCTGTATTTACCTTGCCATTATGTTTTATTATAATAT